GAAAAAAAAAGGGGGAACTGAAGTTTTCGCCACTTCTTCGTTGTTATGGCATTTTTCGTTTTTGTAAGTTTATCCGTTTCATCATTCGCTTTTTCAAGTGTACCATACGTAAGAACATTTGAAATGGCGTAAAATTTTCAGGGCCAGGGAGTGGCACGTTAAATTTAGCCGATCGGATATAAAATTTGGATCAAGAAGCATTAAAATTAGCTCGGAGTTGCTGAATTGCTAATTCCTTTTTCAGACATTAAATTTTGCTCGGAAGTATTTGAAAGAGTTCATATAGGCACAAATTGATACTTCACTGAAATCCATTTTGAGTTGAGCTTTGAAAAAAGTGTAGGCGAAGTTGGTGGTGACGGTGGGTTGTTGTTTTCGATAGAAGTAGTTTTTGCTTAGATGTATCATTGTAATGATTATTTTTCAATCATTTTTATTATGTTTTGAGCAGGACATGTCGCGTTTTGATCCACTCGAACGACGAGTTTTCTGGGGCGCATTGGTCGCAGCCCCGGCAATGTGGGCAGTTTTGGTGTGTGTTGCGTTTGTGACGCTGAAATGGGAATGGATGGTGATTGCTTTAATGGGCCTAGCGATGAATGGAGCTAACTTGTATGGTTATGTACGCTGCAAATGGGGCAGTACCAATGAATTCACGAATTATTTGTCCAAAATGGCATTCCTTTCGGTTGGTCCATCTCTTCAATGAACTGCCAGTGGACTCAGTACGCATCAAAGCACACATTTCATTTCTTGCTTGAAATGCAGTTTGTTTGTTCAGAAATTTCCTAATTGAGCCGGTAGTTGTTTAGGTACTGTCGAGATCGAGCAGTGCGCATCCAAGCCAACAGCCATCTCAGAGTATTTAAATGCTATTGGCTTTTCATGACTGAGCTGTGATACTCTTTCGCGAGCCTGGGGAATTGGTGCAAATGTATAATTGGCTTCATACTGTTTATATAGTGATCATTCGTTAAAAACAAAATAAATGTACCTAAATGTATTTAAGGATAAACGCTGTTTTTTTTTTATCTATGAAATTTCGGATTCATTTTCCATATACGCACGGGTTTCAGGTGCGGTTACTAGGGGATTTTGACCGATAGGAATATTCTGGCGATTTCTGCACATATCAAGCAATAAACATTTTTAAAAGCAAACGCTTAATCGCACGAGCTACTCTAATGCGCTGCTGCTTATTGGTCTTAAGTTTTCTGGGCTAATATCATCATTTAGTTTTTTTGGTCCCACGGGCTTAATTCCTCTTTGTATCATTTCAAGACGTATCTGCATTGACTCAGTTCCTTTTTATTATGCGTTTTGTGCTGTGTAACAGCAGTACAAAACGCATATTGTCACGGGGTTGT